TGTGTTACTTAATTCGATTTCGTTATTTTGTTTATTCAAGTTTATTGCTTTGGCTTTCTTGTTACATTTGTGGTGTTGCATTCCTAATAATGTATGCACTTTGTGCTTTTTCTCCCTCCAGTTGTGATTCAGTTCCTGAACGTCTTTCTTATATCATTGATTCCAGCATAAGATACCTTATCCAACACTGCTTATTTTTTCTTCTGTCTCACTGTTATTACACCATCTTGGTGATTCAGACCATAACTTGTGAGAAATTAACCTAAATAGGTCTGATGATTCAACATATTCAGCTCTTTTAGGGGATGCCAGTAAATTGCTATTGACAGCTAAGAAGGTTAGAAGGGCCACGTGCACTGACTTCTTAATATCCATGTCAAAAGATGATTTTTCCCGGGCAAGTGATTGTTATGTTGGGAAATTGAGGTTCGTATGAAGCTTCATCTTATTCTTTGTCTTAAGAAAATAATGGCAGATTGTCCTTCTGCTACTAATCGCTTCCACTGATCAGGTTTAATTTTCTCGGGACTAAGTTTGTCATTTATGATGCTCAGCCACCATGCAACTTGTTGATCCAGTCCAGTGGTATGTTGTATAAAAAGTTTCCATCGAAGAGGGTAGAGCCGAAGCAGTTATATGGAAATCACGATGTGGGTACCGTATCTTATGAAGTCAATGTTCTACGTACGAGGGGACCAAGAAGAATGCGGTGCACTATGCATGCGATCCCTTTTACTGCAATTCAAGAAGGTGGATCTGCTCCTACACCAGCAACTTTCGGAGAACATGTTCATTGCAATTCATCTTTATATCAGCAGTTTTGAATAGGGAGATCGAAGATTCGATTTGTAGTTGTTTCGATGAACCAGTTAAAACAATTAAAAAGCATGCAGATCCTTTGATTTTGAGGAACAAAGCTCCAAGATGGCATGAACAATTGCAATGTTGGTGTCTAAATTTTAAAGGGCGTGTTACAGTGGCCTCTGTCAAGAATTTTCAGCTGGTGGCCTCCTCCGGCACATCCCAGGGAGTCCCAATTACAGAACAAGAAAAAGTAATCCTACAATTTGGGAAGATAGGGAAAGACATTTTCACCATGGATTACCACTACCCCCTATCGGCGTTCCAAGCATTTGCAGTTTGTTTAAGTAGCTTTGACACCAAGCCTGCTTGCGAGTAGCCTCTTTTTCTTTTTCTTTTGGCTACTATTACATGCCATTTTGTGCTTTTGTCTTCAATGTTGTATGTGTGTGTGTTATTTTTTTTCTCTCTCCTTAGGAAGGATCTTTTATGTGCAGGCTGTAGGTTGTCTCTAGTAGGAATTTGGCTGATATGATTTTAAGTTGCATGCAAGTGTTCTGCCTGCAAAAGTGGCAATTCTGTTGTATTCTTCAGCGTGCTGAACTTATTCGAACATTAAGTCAGTTTGGAAGAAGTAATTTGCCTTTTAACTAACATATATGTCTTCTTTCTTCCCCTTGCCCTACTTTTCTCTCAAAATCAGATTTTGGCCAAAATTTCGAAATGCACATCAAAACGAGACAGTAAAGAACATTTCATTACTATCACATTTCATAGATCACAGCCATCTCTATTGCAGTTTTTTTAAGCAGAGATCATTGAGTATGTACACAAGGATTTTATTACCAATTACATGTATTACAACTGTAGTTTTCAAAGAATATCTATCTCGTTATCATTACTCTTCTCCATGCAGCCAACATGGCAACCATGTCGCGGAGATTTTTCAGGGTTATCTGGATCAGAATCACTTGGTTCAAGGAAAAGGCCTGTGAGGCATCTTCTTCTGATCTTTGGCTCGTATGTAAGTTTCTGGGCTGGGGTTACATTAAATTCAGCCTTGTGTGCCTCAAAGGGGCCTGTTCTCTCACTTGATCGTATAGGTTCTGAAGGCATATGAGGGAACAACATATGTATACCTGGATTGTTTGCCGCAATGGCACTGTCAAATGTAATTGAGTTGTTCAGGCCCTGCACGTTGCAGTTTAGATATGCCTCTATTTCTTGATCTTCCATGGTCCTTGCATCTTTTGGTCGTCTTCCCTCTGAATATCCCTCTGCATCTGTGGTTGCATCGGCACTTTCATCTGGATTCAGTTTGTAGCCTCTGTGAATATGAATTGCCCCTTCTTTACTGGATGAGTCAGAACCAAGTTGCATAGATGCTCCTCTATTATCACCTGCAAGGGTGATCACGCTAACCGGTCCCTCTTCCAAATTTTGCTTCCCATCTCCAACTGCCATCCTATGAATAAACTTCGAGATGTTATCTTTTACCTCTTTATTAAGGGGTATATCTTGTTCAGCGAAACCGGCAGTTTCCTTACTAGAACTATTGACAATTGTTTTGTTTTTTGGCTGAGACGAAACTGTTTTTGTATGGTTTCCATTAGAAACCAGGTTCACCCGAATTTGGTCGTTATCAGAAGTGGATTGCTTCTCTGTATATGCTTTCTTTGATTGAAACGCAGTGCCTGGCTGCTTTGTGGATGTCAGTAAACCACCAATTTTTTCTCCTGTACCATAGTTTTTATTCCTCATCTCTTGCACAACTTCGTTCACTTCTCTAGTTTCCTGGATGTTTGTCTCTGACTGTCTCACCATCTTAGGTTCATCAATGATTCCTGAAGAGTCTGATATCTGGGATGGTTCTTGTGTAATGCCTTTAGTGGATTTCACCTCTGATATTTCTGAAGGTTTCATTACCTTTTCAGGTGACTTAACTTTTGCTTCAGCGACTGTGTCAGATATGGTCTCTTTCTTGAGAAGCTCCATTTGTTCCGACTGTGGACGAATTGCTGTGAACTTTGGTTCTTTTCCAGAAATTGATGCAAGTGCTTCAGTGGATTTGGAAGAAGGTTCTGAACTGTCTAATTGTTTCAGCGGAAATGTTGGCAGAGCAATTGTCTTATCTTTTTCTTGCATTTGAGATGTCATACCAGATGGAAGATCTGAAGAAGTACTCTGGCTTGCAGGAGGAGGTACCTTTGAGGTTAAGTGGTCTGTTGAGAGGACTTGGGGATCCTTGCGTGTTGGGGAGGATATCGGGTTCATTTCTCGTGATTGAGGAGCTGAACGAGATGGGGATGGAGATGGAGGCGGGGACACCCGAGACTTAGTTGGCCCATCAGATGGTGAGGCTGGTTGAGAACTGATCCCTTGCTGTTCTAGAGATGGTATCAAGGGCTGAGACTCAATTCTTGATGCCCGAGTTTGAGAAGAGAGTGAGGGAGAAACTCCTGGAGGACTAGATAGTCCGCTCTGAGCTATTGTGGATGTAGGCGTGGTGGTTATGGCAGTGGTAGGGGTTTGAGTTTCAGATTTCGGACTAGCTGGAGCATTTGCAGGTGTAGAGTTTGTGGTTGATGACTGGACTGGGGCTTTCCTTTCAGCTGAAGGTTGAGGAGGAACTGTGGTGCTTTCAGGTAAAGGGCTTGTGTTTGTGGTAGTGGGCTGGATGGGGGCTTTGCTTTCAGCTGAAGGTTGAGGAGGAATAGGGGTAGTTTCAGTTAAAGTGCTTGTACTTGTGGAGGGCTGGCTAGGTGCGTTCATTTCAGCTGAGGGCTGAGGAAAAGGCGTAGGAGATATTGGTTTCGGGGCGGTTGTACTGGTGGGGACCTCGTTACGGCCTTGAGTGCCAGCTGAAGGTTGAGCTGGTGAAGAAGGCTTTCCAGATGTCGCAGTTGAGGTGGCGCTTGGTGGTTGGTTGGGAGTTGAGGTTTCAGTTGTAGGACTGGAGGACGGCGTAGCTGTGGGTGTACTGCTGCTGGAGGGCTGTGAAGCAGCTCGTGAACCAGTATGAGTTGTGGGAGCGCGACTTGTTTTGGTAGTTGGCTGAGTGGATGGTTTGCTTGCAGGTATTGGAGCTGGAGATGGAGCAGGTGCAGGTGCAGGTTGTGACCAAGGAAGACGGAAGCGGAATGTGGATCTTCGTTCCATTTTACTAGGATAAATGTTATGAAGCAAAAGAAATTTGTTGTTCAATTGTCCGATGATGATATGCAACCAGTGAGAAGCATCACTATATAAAGGTTTGCTTCTGATACCTTTGAACATTTCAAGACTTTAGAATGTCTTAGCTTGCCTTCTTACCTTCACCTTTTGCTTCTTTTCCTCTCACCGCAGGCAACCTCTATTTGAAAATCATATAATGAAATTTGCCTTATGGTTGAGGTTAGCATCTAACTTTGTTTCTTCTCTGCATGGATTAGCATAATCCACTTAAAAGTGTTTTTTGGCCATTGTTTAACTCTAAAATGCAAAACCATTTTTTGCACAAGTTTTTAATAATATTCATTTTATGTAACTTGAATTTCACAGAAATGCCACAACCAGACAATGAAATTACTCTCAACGATATGCAAAAGCCAGCAATATGAAGGCAAATTGTTTTATTTCTTTGTTAAAGAATATCTCTGCAGGAGGCAAAGGAAGAGGGAAAAAGAAGAAACTAAGCCAAATGTGAAAGAAAGCAGCAACTAAAAAAGCATTTTCCTTTAAAATACTCAATTACCTCTCCAAGAAGCAAAGCATTAGAAGAAAAAATTGCATTAACAGACATGGTCTTTCCTGATTTAGTAGTTCAAGAAAAGAACACAAGAATGGAAATCATATAAACAACAAAGGGGAGTGTGCTCTTTCTTCTCTTGTGACTATCAAGTACAATTTAATCAATCATTAACTGAGACCAAATTGCCATTTGAAGATTTCTTTTCCTCGTTTTAAGGTAAGTTCTTTCATTTCTCTGCTACTTCATGAACACTGAGAACTACTATCACACGTCATATTCTACAGCCCGTTCCTTGTTTCAACATTCATTTTGATGAACACAACACAAGCAAACATAAAAGCATTATTATTTCTTGAAAAAGACAGCTATAGCGAATAATTTGGAGGTGGAGGTTCATTTATCACGTCTGTAATGTACTTACCAATTATCATTAGTATCTCTACGGTTACCAGATACAGATAAGTGACTTATAAGCATTTGATAGTTTTGTATCATAATCACAGAAACACAATGCAAGGTCTTCTGCGAATGGTTAGATCATGTCATGAGAAGCTCAAGGTTACAATTCTACAGAACCTGCAGCTCAAAAGCACAAGTGAGATGAACAAAGTATTCGCAAGATTTGGACGTGTCATCTCCTTCCCCACGATGCAAAACAAGGAAGTCAATGCCTTTAACAAAACTTGAGACAGGTAAAATTTGCATTTAATTGGTTTAATTCAATAAATATTATCCCTTGTATTCTACCTAGACATTGGAACTCTTAACAAAACTTACGAACTTATGCATACAATTGTACCAGCAATTTGGCGTTTCGTTATTTCCAAAGTTTGATTGTGCTTTGTGTTTGGGAGACATCGGAGCGTGAACGGTGGTAGCGTATCAGTTCGTTTTTTGCTTTTGGGTCAGCGAAATTCGCTAAATAGGTATTTGAATCCCTTTGCATTTGAAGTAAATTACCGGGTTTTTCTTTTCACCTTTTTTATTTTGTTGTTGTTGAGAAAATTGTGGACCAAATTCGAAATTAAAATGTTGAGTTTTTTGGTATTTTAGATATTTCTACATTCTCCCAGTCTAAAAACTCATCGTATTTACTTTGCATGCTTAATTCCACATTTTCTCATCAAACGTTTGATTTGGAAGAAAAAGTTGCACGGTTTTTGGATTTTATAGTAGTAATAGTTTGTTTGGATAAGAAGTGTTAGATAATGTGGCTATTATTTTCAATTTAAAAGCTTCTTTGCAGAGTCCATTACTCAAATGGTCACTCAATTATCCCAAATTATCTCCTAAAGTCATTTTTCTTTCGTTTGTAACAACAAAGTCACTAAACTATGCCTATTGCACTCAAAAGATCACTCAACTAGATTTTCCATATTTTGGATTGCCAAATACCTATTTTACTCTCTAAATTATAAACATTTATCTTCTTTTTATTTTTTTAAACTTTTTTAATAATATGATTTTTCCTTTTTAATTTATATCATGGACTTACCTATAAAATAAATAATATTATTTATAAATTAAAAAATAAAAAGTATTTAAGCATATATAATGCTGGATAATAAAATAATGAGCATAGTAAAAAAATTAATTAAAAAGATTTGTTAGTAATAATAATTTTAGTATTAACAACAAAAATTCAAAAATTTATTTACACAACTCAGAATGAAAGAAAATAAATGTTGTAAAATATATATTCCATGCACGTAATATAAAAATAATTATTTAAATAAAGTATTTTTATAATACACATTATATATTCTTGAAAATTATGCTCAATTATATTATATATATTCCATGCACCAGGGGCGTATCTAGGGGGAGGGGGTTCCATGTGGCACGTGAACCCATGCTCCCCTCACTAAATCATGTATAGTAATGTTATATATTTTTTTAAAATATATGTTTGTGCACCCATGCTCAAAGTATTATATAATGTGATGGTTATTGGATGTATCTCTCTAGGTGAGGCTGTGAGTTCAAATCTTATGTCAATCTTATTGTTTTTTCCTCTCTTTTTTTTCTAGAACTAGACGCCCACGGGAATGGGCGTGTCTGGTGTTATTTATTGCGTATTTTAAGTACTTTTTCTTTTTATTTCTTTTTTGTTTGGATTCTTCAAAATTTTCACACATTGAAATTCCTATTCTTCTTTTGTCGCTGTAAAATCTTATATGATTAAACAAAATATGTATATTAAAACTAGAAGTAGTGTATGATGTAGCATATAGTCAATGGGTTCAACTGATCCCAATATTTTCAACATGAAAAATAAATATAGATTTAAGAAAATTCCTATTTAAAAAGTGTAATGGGTAGTAATCGTAAGAACTAAAAATATTGAACCCATAAAATTTATATTCTGGATCCACCTCTTTTTAATAGTGCACCCATCCTCTCAAAATCTTGGATACGCCTTTGCCATGAACGACTTAACATAGCATATTTTACCCCATACAGATAGTCCCCATACTTTCCGGTGACATAACTTTGTGTCGTCGGAAAGTTAGTAGAAACATAATAATATAATTGAGCATAATTTTCAAGAATATATAATGTATATTATAAAAATACCTTTATTTAAGTAATTATTCTTATATTACGTGCATGGAATATATATTTTACAACCTTTATTTTCTTTCATTCTGGATTGTGTAAATAAATTTTTGAATTTTTGTTGTTAATATTAAAATTATTATTATGAACAAATTATTCTAATTAATTTTTTTACTATGCTCATTATTTTGTTATTCTAACATTATAGATGCTTAAATACTTTTTATTTTTTTAATTTATAAATTATAGTATTTATTTATTCTATAAGTAAGTTCGTAACATAAATTAAAAAGGAAAAAATCATAATATTAAAAAGTTTAAAAAAATAAAAAGAAGATAAATGTTTATAATTTAGAGGGTAAAATAGGCATTTGGCAATCCAAAATTTGGAAAATCTAGTTGAGTCACCTTCTGAGTGTAATAGGCATAGTTCAGTGACTTTGTTGTTACAAACGAAAGAAAAGTGACTTTAGGAGATAATTTGGGATAGTTGAGTGACTATTTGAGTAATTGACTCGAATTTGAACATTAAGAACTAAGCTTGAGGTAAAATGGTTGCAAAAATTGGAGTTGGAGGCAACTCTTTCGCATATTCAGTAGTGTGAGATGTAGACTTTGATGTTCCTTTTTTTTAGTTCAACATTACTTGTATCCTTTGATTCCATGATTATTACTCAGCATACGAGTAGTCGAGGGAATGAAATGGCGATGAAATCAATTATTCATGAGCTTAAGGGGGTAGGAGATAATGTAGATAGCAAATCAAAAAAGCAAGCTGAGAGGAAGTGTGTATTGAGCCGTGGAAGGTCATATGTGGCTCCTGAGAGGTTAACATCCTCTCCATGTATATTCATTCAAGAAAGTCTGTGGGCGAGTTTGCCACATGAACTGCTGCTTGACATAATCCAGCGAATAGAGGCAAGTGAGATAACATGGCCTGCCCGTAGAGATGTAGTTACCTGTGCCTCTGTGTGCCGGTCCTGGAGGGAAACAACCAAGGAGGTTGTTAGAACTCCGGAACAATGTGGGCTGCTGACTTTTCCTACGTCGTTGAAGCAGGTACATTTGATGTTGCATTATTTTCTTGTTCGTTTAGCTGTTTATTAGCAAACTGACCCTGATTTCACTTCTTGAATTCCTGTTAGCCTGGGCCTAGAGGTTGTCCAATTCAGTGCTTTATAAAAAGAGAAAGGGCAACATCAACTTTCCGATTATATCTTGGCCTGAGTCCTGGTAAATTATGATACTCTCGCCCTCCACTTTGTTCTTGATCTATCAATTCAAGTTTATTACTCTGACTTTCTAATTATATTTGTGATCAATCTCGTTGCTTTCCTAATAAATAGAAAATGTATGCACTTTGTACTTTTTCTCCCTCCAGTTGTGATTCAGTTCCTACACTTCTTCCTGATATCATTGATTCCAGCTTGAGATACCTTATCGAACGCTACTCTTCTGTCTCACTGTTATTACACCATCTTGATGATTCAGATGATAACTTGTGAGAAATTATCTTATATAGGTCTGATGATTTCAACATATTCAGCTCTTTCAGGAGATGCCAGTAAATTGCTATTGACGGCAAAGAAGATTAGAAGGGCCACATGCACTGCCTTCTTAACATCCATGTCGAAAGATGATTTTTCCCGGGCAAGTGATTGTTATGTTGGGAAGTTAAGGTTGGTATGAAGCTTCATCTTATTCTTTGTCTTAAGAAAAAAAGGCCAGATTGTCCTCCTGCTACTAATTGCTTCCATTGATCAGGTCTAATTTTCTCGGGACTAAGTTTGTTATTTATGACGCTCAGCAACCATGCAATTTATTGATCCACTCCAGTGGTGTGTTACATAAAAAGTTTGCTATGAAGAAGGTAGAGCCATAGCAGTTATTTGGAAATCACAATGTGGACACCATTTCTTAGGAAGTCAATGTTCTACGTACAAGGGGGCCAAGAAGAATGCAGTGCACTATGCATGTGATCCCTTCCACTGCAATTCAAGAAGGTGGATCTGCTCCTACACCAGCAACTTTCAAAGAACACGTTCAGTGCAATTCATCTTCAGTATCAGCAGTTTCAAATAGGACAGTCCAAGATTCTATTTGTAGTTGTTTCGATGAGCCAGTTGAAACAATTCTAAAGAATACAGAACCTTTGATTTTGAGGAATAAAGCTCCAAGATGGCATGAACAATTGCAATGTTGGTGTCTGAATTTGAAAGGCCGTGTTACAGTGGCCTCTGTCAGAATTTTCAGCTGGTGGCCTCCTCTGGCACATCCCAGGGCATCCCAATCACAGAACTAGAAAAAGTAGTCTTGCAATTTGGGAAGATAGGGAAAGACATTTTCACCATGGATTACCACTACCCCCTATCGGCGTTCCAAGCATTTGCAATCTGTTTAAGTAGCTTTGACACCAAACCTGCTTGCGAGTAGCCTCTTTTCCTTTTTCTTTTGGCTACTATTACATGCCATTTTGTGCTTTTGTCTTCAAAGTTGTGTATATATACTTTTTTTTTAGCCCTCTCCTTAGGAAGGATCTTTTATGTGCAGGCACAAAAGACATAGGTCGTTGTGTAGTAAGAATTTGGCTGATATGCTTCTAGTGCATGCAGTATTCTGCCTGCAAAAGTGGCAATTCTGTTGTATTCTTCAGCATGCTGTACTTATTCGAAAATTCTGTCAGTTCGCAAGAAGTAATTTGCCCTTTAACTAACATAGTGACGTTCTATCTTCTCCTTTCTTTTTTTCCCTTTTCTTCTTCTTTCCCTATGTTTCTCTCTTAATCAGATTTTGGCTAATCAGATTTTGCCAAGCATCAGGGTAGGCTGCCTACATCACACCCCCTTGAAGTGCGTCCCTTCCCCAGATCCTGTGTGAACGCGGAATGCTTTGTGCGCCGGGCCGCCCTTTTAATCAGATTTTGGCTAATATTCACATATGCACATCAAAACGAGGCAGTAGAACAACATTTCATAACTATCATGTTTCATATATCACAGCCATCTCAATTGCAGTTGCTTTAAACAGAGGTTACTCAGTATGTACACAAGGATTTTTAACTTTTAACAATTACATGTATTACAACTGTAGTTTTCAAAGAATCTCTATCTCGTTATCATTACTCTTCTCCATGCAGCCAACATGGCAACCAGGGTTATCAGAATCACTTGGTTCAAGGAAAAGGCCTTTGAGGCATCTTCTTCTGATCTTTGGCTCGTATGTAAGTTTCTGGGCAGGGGTTACATTAAATTCAGCCTTGTGTGCCTCAAAGGGTCCTGTTCTCTCACTTGATCTTATAGGTTCTGAAGGCATACGAGGGAACAACATATGTATACCTGAATTTTTTGCCTCAATGGCACTATCAAATGTAATTGAGTTGTTCATGCCCTGCACGTTGCAGTTTAGATATGCCTCTATTTCTTGACCTTCCATGGTCCTTACATCTTTTGGTCGTCTTCCCTCTGAATTTCCCTCTGCATCTGTAGTTGCATCGGCACTTTCATCTGGATTCAGTTTGTAGCCTCTGCGAATGTGGATTGCCCCTTCTTTTCTGGATGAGTCAGAACCAAGTTGCATAGATGCTCCTCTATTATCACCTGCAAGTGTGATCACACTCCCCGGTCCCTCTTCCAAATTTTGCTTGCCATCTCCAACTGCCATTCTATGAATAAACTTCGAGATGTTATCTTTTACCTCTTTGTTAAGGGGTATGTCTTGTTCAGTGGAAACCGCAGTTTCCTTACTGGAACTACTGGCAACTGTTTTGTTCTTTGGCTGAGATAAAACTGTTCTTGTATGTTTTGTGTTAGAGACAGGGTTCACCCGAATCTGATTATTATCAGAACTGGCTTGCTGCTCTGTATATGCTTGCTTTGATTGAAAAACAATGCCTGGCTGCTTTTTGGATGTCAGGAAACCACCAATATTTTCTCCTGCAGCATAGTTTTTATCCCTCATCTCATGCACAACTTCCTTCACTTCTCTAGTTTCCTGGATGTTTGTCTCTGACTGTGTCACCATCTTAGGTTTGCCATTGATTCCTGAAGAGTCTGATATCTGGGATGGTTCTTCGGTAATGCCTCTAGTGGATTTCACCTCTGATAGTTTTAAAGGTTGCATTATTTTTTCATGTGACCTAACTTTTGCTTCACTGTCACATATGGTCTCCTTCTTGGGAAGCTCCATTTGTTCTGACTGTGGCCGAAGTGCTGTGAGCTTTGGTTCTTTTCCATAAATTGATGTAAGTGCTTCAGTGGATTTGGAAGAAGGTTCTGAGCTGTCTACTTCTTTCAGTGGAGATATTGGCTGAGCAATTGTCTGATCCTTTTGTTGCATTTGAGAGGTTATACCAGATTGAAGATTTGAAGAAATACTCTGGCTTGCAGGAGGAGGTACCTTTGAGGTTAATTGGTCCGTTGAGAGGACTTGGGGATCCTTGCGTGTTGGGTAGGATAGTTCAAGTGAAAGAAACGAAATGGGCTTCAAAACTGATCCCCTGGCGATAAGTGACTCATCCCAGGCATCAAAGGTAAGAGTGGAACATCAGATGGTGAGGCTGGTTGAGAACTGATCCCTTGCTGTTCTTGAGATGGTATCAATGGTTGAGACTCAGTTCTGGATGCCCGAATTTGAGAAGAGGGTGAGGGAGAAACTCCTGGAGGACTAGATGGTCCGCTCTGAGCTATTGTGGATGTTGGGGTGGTGCTTATGGTAGTGGTAGGGGTTTGAGTTTCAGATTGTGAACTAGCTGGAGCATTTGCTGGTGTAGAGTTTGAGGTCGATGGCTGGTTAGGGGCTTTGCTTTCAGCTGAAGGTTGAGCTGGTGAAGAAGGCTTTGCAGATGTTGTGGTTGAGGTGGCGCTTGGTGGCTGCTTGCGAGTTGGGTTTTCAGTTGTATGACTGGAAGACGGCATAGCTGTGGGCGTACTGCTGCTGGAGGGCTGTGAAGCAGCTCTTGAGCCAGTACGAGTTGAGGGAGCGCGACTTGTTTTGGTAGTAGGCTGAGTGGATGGTTTGCTTGCAGGTGTTGGAGCTGGAGATGGAGCAGGTGCAGGTTGTGACCAAGGAAGACGGAAGCGGTATGTGGATCTTCGTTTCATTTTTACTAGGATAAATGTTATATGATATTCAACCAGTGAGAAGCACCAATATATAAAGGTTTGCTTTTGATACCTTTGAACATTTGAAGACTTAGAATGTCTCAGCTTGCCTTCTTACCTTCACGTTTTGCTTCTTTTCCTCTCGCCGCAGGTAACCTTTCTCTGGAATTCCAATAATGAAATTTGCCTTATGGTTGAGGTTAGCATCTAACTTTGTTTCTTCTCTGCATGGATTAGCATAATCCACTTAAAAGTGTTTTTTGGCCATTGTTTAACTCTAAAATGCAAAACCATTTTTTGCACAACCTTTTTCATAATATTCTTTTTTGGATGTAACTTAAATTTCACAGAAATTCCACAACCAGACAATCAATAACTCTTAACGGTATGCAAAAGCCAGCAATATGAAGGCAAATAGTTATATTTCCTAGTTAAAGAATATCTCTGCAGGAGGCAAAGGAAGAGGGAAAAAGAAGAAACTAAGCCAAATGTGAATGAAAGAAAGCAGCAATTAAAAAGCTATTTTCCTTTAAAATAGTCGAATACCTCTCCAAGAAGGAAAGCATTAGAAGCAAAATTCACATTAACAAACATGGACTTACCTGATTTAGTTCAAGAAAAGAACACAGGAATGGAACTCATATAAACGACAAAGGGGAGAGTGCTCTTCCTTCTCTTGTGACTCTATCAAGTACAGTATAATCAATTAGCTGAGACCAAATTGCCAGTTGAAGATTTCTTTTCCTCATCTTAAGGTAAGTTCTTTCATTTCTCTGCTACTTTATGAACACTGAGAACTACTTTATGTCTCAACATTCATTTTGACGAAAACATAAAAGCACATTTATTATTTCTTGAAAAAGACAGATATAGCGAATATGGAGTTGGCCGTTCATTTTATCACGTTTGTAATGCACTTACCAATAATCATTAGTATCTCTATGGTTACCAGATACAAACAAGTGACCTATAAGCATTTGATAGTGTTGTACCATAATCACAGAAACGCAATGCAAGGTCTTCTTCGAATGGTTAGATCATGTCATGAGAAGCTCAAGGTTACAATTCTACAGAACTCGCAGCTCAAAAGCACAAGTGAGATGAACAAAATATTCGCAAGATTTGGACGTGTCATCTCGCAAAACAAGGAAGCTAATGCCATAATGGTATCACAGTCCACAATGCAGCAAAAAGGGTTAGAGAATACAAAAGTATCTGATGTATTACTGACAAAGGATGGAGAAGAAAGTGGTTCATGGCTTTGTTGTCGGACAAATGACACAGTTTATGATGCTATCAAACAAGTATGTTGCTAAACTTAAACATCAACATAGAAAGTTAACAATGTTTATTTATGTGATAGACATACAAATAACATTGTTCATATGATGATGGTGTCAAATTTGTAGATGGCAGACAATAACATCGGATCTTTGGTGGTTCTAAAGCCAGGAGAGAATCAACTGATAGCTGGAATTATAACAGAAAGAGGTAATTAGCCTTCCAAGTCACATATTCTCCACAGATAGACGAGACTGCAAAACTTTCTATTACACAATTTGTGTAGCAATAAACATTTTGCTCAATTAGATAAAATGTTGAACTTCTTCGTCTATACTTAAAAGAGTTTCTTAAACAAAATTTGTGTAAAGGGCAGCCCGGTGCACAAAGCATCCCGCGTTCATGCAGGATCCGGGGAAGAGCCGCACCCTAAGGGGGTGTGATATAGGCAACCTACTTGCATCAGATTCTACGGCTCGAACCCGTGACCTATAAGTCACATTGAGACAACTTAACCGTTGCTCCAAGGCTCCCCTTCTTAACCAAAAATTGTGTGATTTTTTTTTCGAGGGAGCAGACTATCTGCGGAAGGTAATTGTGCAGGATAGATCATCTAAATACACAAGAGTGGGAGATATTATGACCGAGCAGGTACCCTAGATATTGTCTTCTTGGCTTATTTGCTCATCTCTTTTCTATTTTTCTGCTCATTATCCCTACCTGTGCAACAGAGCAAGCTCATAACAGTCACATCCGACACAAACATTCTTCAAGCAATGCAACTCATGAGTGGTAAGTATTACTACTTGTTCAACTAATGACAATGGATATGATTTAAGGGAAATGATGGAATGTTTTGTGATTACAGAACATCACGTACGACATGTTCCAGTGATAGACGGAAAGGTGGTAGGCATGATTTCTGTTGCAGATATTGTCAAAGCAGTGGTGGAGCAACAAACTGGAGAAGTGAACCAACTGAATCAATTCATTCGAGGGGATTACTACTGAAAACATATTTAGCAAAGCTACTAATATCAAAATTGCTTGTTGACAAACCACTACTTTCATTTTCTCAGTGTATTTCTTAAAATAACTGGGAACAAGTTCAATCAAACCATTATGAAATATTTACTTTCTTCCTCTTCAATCATCACAATCAAAATCAAATCAAAATAATTAAATTTGTAATTGATCTGGAGGGGTGCGCCAGGCCTGTGCAGTAGTGCAACGCATGGACAACATGCGAGAGCCCAAGTAGCAAGCTACCTTAGTAAATTCTCCCCCTTAAAAAAATTGAGTTAATATCGGGTGGACCAATGACCCACATATCAAATATTAAACTGATAAGAACAAATACTACACTTGATCTTAGCCAAAAGGTCGAGAAAGGTATGCTTAATCACAATGACGGGACTTCGCTTTTATAGCAACTCTCTGTTTTCTACTTATTAGCATCTTCCGATATGGAAACTGCTCCAGCAAAGCTTAAGGTGCTAAACTCTATTTATGATCAAACCAAATTTTATGAACAATTTTATGTTCATATCTGAGACTGAGCGACACATGGATGTAAAATACAAATGGTGGGATTACAAAATAACTAAGGAACAGTTATTAAAGCTATGAATTTTTTTGGATCTTACCGTCAAGCATTTTAATGAGCTTTTGATATCCACATAAGACTAGGCCGTTAAAAGGAGGTGTGCATAGAAACCTCTACAGAAGGCTAATATAACTCATTAACATTAGTTTTGTCGAAATGACTTTGATAATATGGACTAAAATGTCATCAACATAATTTGCCTCAATAAATGTTCTTTTCAAAAAAGGTGCTATATTCTAGAGTATTTTGTAAAATATTTTTCATCCCTAATGTCCTCATTAGATTTCTCAAGCTGGTTGCTTCTTATTCTCCACAGCGGTCAAATTTTCTGTCTTGATGCTTTGCGTCTCTGTTCTTGCATTCTTATTGACTTTTTTTTTTAAAAAGGTAACATAGTTGTATATTGATATAAGACTTCACTAAAATTGTGAAGTTACCCATAATTACAAAAAAGGGTACCCGAGCAAAAAGTAGGCACTCCTAGTTCTTCTTCTTCTTCTTATAAGGACTCTAATACATCTAAATGGATTCATGATCCTCCAAAAGCCGACCTTTACACCAAAAATAAAAAAGAGCTAAACATTTCATCTTAATCTTCTGAATGTTGCTAGATTTATCTTCAAAACATCTTTGATTCCTCTCTTCCGAAACTGTCCACCATATGCATGCTGAGACAATCCTCCATCTCTCTCTTTCTCTAGAAGTGTGCCCATTTTACTTCAGCTTGCCAGAATATCAAGGACTCTTCCTGGCATTGCCCATTGAATTCCCCTCAGACTGATGAAGATTCTTAGACTTATGGATTAAGTTCTATCATTAACCGCAAATGAAGTTAAATAGAGATAAGAGAGGGTTGCTAAGATGGTCAGCATCCCACTTACAATATGAGGATTTTAGGTTGAGTCACCAAAGAGTAATAGCTCCAACAAAATGGATCAAAGGGGAGGGGAATAAAAAAAAAAGTCAAACAGATCCGAAAGATGTCTTTTATTTCTAACCACCGAAACAAAAATGTCCCTAAAGCATGTCATCCATACATAACATTCCCTACATTATTATTCACCCAATAGTATATAATTTCAATATTATTATTCAGTTCATAAATAATCCTTACTAATAATCTCAACATAACTAGTACATGAACCAAACAACCATAATACATATTCTTATCAAACTTGGGCTTCTTATTTACACCACGAATTAGGCGTGAAAATAGTATGGGCAAGCCAGTTTTCGGACTGGTAATTGAAGTCATTAAAAAATAGTCAATATTTAGCTACAACACGAAAAGCTCCAGCATAATATACTAGAGATTGGTGCACCTATATATGAACTTCCAGCATATTATGCTGGAACTCCAGTACACGGAAAGTTCCAACATAATATACTGGAGATTGGAACACCTGTAATATGCTGGACCAGTATATTATGCTGGAAGTTCACATGTAAAAATTCGAACTCCAAAATATTATGCTGGAATATTTTTCGAATTTTGAACAGTATTTTCGTTCAGATTTATCTCTACATGAAAATTGGCTAAATTTCGATTACTTTTGAAACTGTGGCTATTTTTCAACTACCACTTGTAAATCTGGCTATTTTTTAATTTCACCCGAACTAGGCACCAGTGAAAGATCTTATGTTTTATGACCACCAACCTGCACATATTGCAATATAAATATCACAAACCAGGATAAGGTCATTAAAGAAAGCAATAACTTCAATAATTTTGACATCTTTTAGGAAGTTATCTTTTATTTCTAACCACTGAATACCAGAATCCAATAATATACCACTAGAAAGCTAGAAAACATTCCTCAAAAAGACATACTGATTCTGCATGTCTCAATTTCCTCTTTGAAATTCCCCTTTTACAAGCCATTTGCTTATCAGACCTTAAAAAAGCAAAGAGAATAAGGCAAGAAAATTCCATTTTGATCAAAAGTATGCAAGTGCTGAGCATATTACTGTTATATAAACGCTCTCCTTAGACAGACAATTGTTCTAATTCACATCTATGCACAGGCAAGCGCCCACATTTGACTCAAAAAAGAAGAAAACATATCCAGAATATTAAGTGACCAGTGACCACTAATCTTGCATTATTTAAGGTCTCTTATCTAAATATAAGATGAGAAGATACTTCTCCTGCATCTATCTTTTTTATCATTTGGAACATTTCAGCATCCGCAAAAAAAAAAAAAAGATAAAAAGAAAAGGAAAGAAAATGAAGTAAAACCACCTGCTTATTCTATTTGTGGCAAATTTCTATGTTGATTCAATCACACTATATATAGATTTTTTCAACAAAATATACTTCTCTTTGTGGCATATCCAAAGATTCCATCCTTAGTGTACTCCTCAAGCTTTTATAACTAGCATGCGACTGAATAATTGTTGAAAGGTCTAATCTCAGCTCCTCTGATTTTTTGAGAAGTCACTGATATCATCTGTGTTAGATAAGACCTTTCTCTTGGACGATAGAGATGTGCATGATTTGTTTCGTCTTGACTGTTAAACATACTTCCTACCAGAATTGAAACAAATTTCTACTTCATTGCAGATTCAAACATTGATATCTCGAGTAAATAAGTTTCCATAGTAAGTAGACTTTAGTTCATTGTTCTGAATAAGAATAAAAGCGCATGAACTCTCTGCGGTTTTGGAACTTGCGTATTACCTACATATGGTGTAGAAATAAGCTAAGAGCTCCCTTCTGTTTCCATATAGTCTCCTGACATAAGTGTTGCACATAGGGCGAAGCCACATGTCTTAAAGGCTTCGTTAGAAAATTACACTGCGTATATAGGTAAAATACTAGGTTTTAAAGGTATATAACATATATTGAACACTCTTCATCGGAGAATTTTCACTTCTTTCAAGTTTGAATACTCTTGAGAAAATTCCTGGGCTTCGTCACTGGTTGCACACCTTTCCCACTAAAAATGTATGTAAAAAGAAAATCTAATTCTTCTTCTTCCCAAGTAAAAGCTTGTCATGAATGGTAAAATGAGAAATTCAAGTTAAATTATTTCCAAATTTAGAAGGTTTCGTTCTTTTCCAAACAGACTATTGGCAACAGTGGCATCCTTTTTGAAACAAAAGGAGTAATACAATTACACTAGATAACTTAATAGTACTTAATTTAAGTAAATATATCTAAGAACCTTATGGTTATACTACTTTTAGATTAAGTTGCTTAATGTTCAATCAATTATATAGAATCTTTTGACATAGAAATGGAGGATATTTTGGACATTTAAATCAAGGTTTTAGAGGAAAACAGAATACTCAGAGAGTTATGGGGAAACACATTGTTTTCAAAACCACAAGGAGGCTCCAGCCGTATTTACATGAGATACTTAAACATCAGATACTTTGTTGTATAATAACATAGATTCCTACTGCAGTATTTTGACAAAAGGTGTCCCTTCACCTCCTCTCCCATGTTGGCAGACAGTATCTCAAGTGAAAAAGGTCTCAAAGCAAGTGGTCTAAAAGGGACAATTCTTCCCTTTTTGGTAATTTTGAGAGTCTTTTTGAGAACTATTACTTTGACTCAAAAGTAATTCATCTAAGAATGACAAACGCCTCAATGTGATCCAAACTGGAAAGGCCGTTATGGCAGAAACTAACATAACAAGAAACATTAGTAAGAAGCAATGCATACCTACACCATATCTTAAAAAACAAAAGGAGGGAATTCTGTAGAAGCGGTAATAGAAATACGCACAGGGTGACTCCATTCCTAGAGAGAATAAACATAAGCAGCAGTCACTTGCCTGTTCCAACTTGCAACTCGGGATCATAATTTGATACAGCTATAAGCAACCTAATAGTTATAACCATTCAAATGTAAGATGATAAAACTTAAAGAACAATGAAATTGAGTTATTTTAAGCTCTTTTCACTTTGTTCATAATTCGTTATCATCAAAACATAAAGATCAACAATGCTTAGGTTAATGCACGCATTGTCAACAAATGACTGGCAGATAACAATTGAAGGATGACAAATGGTTTACCAATTGATGCAGAATTTAAGCAACATTTTGCAACCTAGAAGCTGGCAAAATATCTTGATAATTATTTTTCAGCCTAAATATTATAAAACATTGGCGCGTCTATCATAGCCATAGAATTGGAATTAGGGGATCTAATCTCCTCCAGCTGGGTGAATTTCTTATCTGATCCACTTGCTGATGACATTACTTTCCAAATAAAGCAAGCAAAGTCACAAATACTATTTCCTTATTCTCCTTCCACCTATTCCCATTAGCATTACTTCAATAACCATGTATTCCACCTCCCTAAAAGAAAACGAAATATTCGCCAACTTGCCAGAAACCAAGACCACTCCCCCAGCTTATAAGGAACTAGCTAGCTTAGCATTATCTTGTCCATACCATTCACTTGAACACTTGACTTTGCCTGAGGTAGCTCTCAACCCTCTATCCCTATTAATCAATAATGGCCTCATGGACTACAAGGCAAAACAAGAAGTTTGAGGAGGCGTTGGCTTTATTTGACAAGGAAACTCCTGACCGCTGGCATAACATTGCCAGGTGTGTAGGTGGAAAATCAGCAGAGGAAGTGAGGAGACATTATGAGTTGCTTTTGAAGGATATCATGCAAATTGAAAATGGCCAAGTACCTTTGCCCAATTACAAAGCCGTTGGAAGCAATAGCAGAGGTTATGCCAATGAACAAAGGTATAGCAAATCTCTACTCTCCACACAGCCAAACTAATCTTTTCATCTACATAAAAGTCAATGATACATTCTGTATTTTTAAGGCTAAGCATTTTGTTATATCTGCCAATCATTAATTTTCACAACGAATGATTTAAGAAAACACCATCAAAACGTTATCTTTTAAGCTTGTTAACAAAACAAAGTATGTAAAACTTGGTAACTTTGATAATTGACATACCCTGTATAGATTCCATATGTTGTTATTCTCCTATTTCTGGTACTGCTTATTAACCACCTTTCCATTTTTAGTAACTTTAAGTCAAAGGCTAGTCACTCTCCTTGCTATACAAAAAAAATAAAAAAAATAATTGACCCCTATATTCTAAAGAATAAATGCTTAAAGCTTCAACTTTTTGCAAGTGGAAAGTTCCAGAGATGTCTGCACATTTACCTATTAATTAAGCTTCTAAATAATGAAATATAATCCTACTTGTTTAGATCACGTGCACAAGTCCTACATCTCGATCCCCTACCACCTCATTATACAAAATACAATTGTTTAACAATTGTTTCTAGTGCTGATCATACATATCATCACATGATGCAACAAATATTTTATGAGCTCCTCACATTCCTCAATAACCCTTCAGCAATCCCAATTAGTCACTTATCAAGAAGATAATTTCAGCAGCACTTACACTTGAAAGAAAAACCCCTCTGTGTCAGCAGCACTAAGAATATAAGCAAAAAGAGGACTATTAAGAGTTACTTCTGATAAAGTTGGACGAATCTCTGAACTCAAATTGATAATGTTTTGCTGAATTTCAAACTTTCTTTATAAGCAAAATAGTATTTGTTTCTCAGACAAATAAACAATGGTTATTTCCTCATCATTGATCAATTTTTTTACATGCCTATTTCGTATTGAACAGGCTTCTGAAGAACTTGAAGCTACAGTGAGAACAAATTTGCAGCCAATACTCAATAACATCACAAGTTCTCCACTAAATGTGAAAGCATAAGTTGTGAATTCATGTATTAGTTTATGAAGAAAGCAAATGCATAATATATAGATATAATGTCTGCTTCGATTCACTTCTATCTTTAGTGTATTTTGTTCCTAAAATCAAACTAAAAATAGACGATTCAAAATAAGAACAGTTTAATTACATGAATAAAACAGGAGAAGGTAGTACAAATTACCTCTTAACTGGATTTTCAACCTCATGCAACCCTATACCAATTGAAAGGTGAAGAAAAGAAAGAATAAAAATCAGCGAATTTCGGATGACAAACGGTTCAATGCGAAAACAACAACAACAACAACGACCCAGTGTAATCCCACAAGTGGGGTCTGGGGAGGGTAATATGTACGCAGACCTTACCCCTACCCCGAAGGGTAGATAGGCTGTTTCCAGGAGACCTTCGGCTCAAAAAAGCAATAGGAGATGATATATTAGTACCATAAAAATGCGTAATAAAAATAACAACAATATATAAGAGATATGAAATACAGGATACAAAATAGATGGCTGGTATAGTACCACTAGAAGGTAAAGGCCTGCATCAATAGATGACCAATGATATTCCTAGTCTAACTCCTAACTAGATAGTCTCCTTCTATTGTGCTGTAGAAATATTCACACTCTCCCCTAATGAATGCGAAAAATGAAGTAAAAATTAAATGACACAGCTCTTGAGAAGACGTTGATCAACCATTTAAACTCTGAAGATAAAGTAGCCGGAAAATGTGAGTCGATCGTCGGTTATCTGCAAATGCAGAGACGGCGACAAAAATCCTAAAATTGTGAAGTGAACCGACCCATAAAAAAACGAACTGGCGCAACAGTAAGGAAAACTGGAGATGCGGGGTATCGATCCCCGTACCTCTCGCATGCTAAGCGAGCGCTCTACCATCTGAGCTACATCCCCATGTTTGAAATTATGCGCTATCAAATATAATTAACAAATATTAAAACAAATATTACTATTAAGAAAAAAGGCTAAAATCTGAACTTATGCCTAGACACTTAAACTTACATTAACTATCCTTGTTAAATAAACACTTTAACTATCCTTGTGACCAAATAAATACCTCTTGTTATTATAAGCTTGTCTCGTGCACACCCCTGCAATAGACATCGTATGTATATCCTATTTGGCCAAGCTTGTCGAGACAAAAAAAAAGTGTTTTTTTTCCCAAAAGCACTTTTTTTTTCCTAATTTGAGGTGTTTGGCCAAGTTTATTTGGAAAAAAAGGTGTTTTTGGGAAGAAGCAGAAGCAGTTTTGGCTTTTCTTCTTACCTAAAATACCCTTAACAAAATATAGTATATACCAAAATAACCCTTAAACCTAATACTTAGGATATTAATTTATAAATATTTCTTCTTATTTTTAGGAAACTTTCTAATATATAGTGACTTTAGGGGTGAATGCTTTTATATTTGTTGAAGGAATTTTAATATATTTAACTTATATTAAAAGAATTAAGTACTTTTAAATTTTATTTTCATATTTTACTTAAATAAAATGATTTTTTTTTAATTATTGCATGTAATAATAAAATTTTGATATTATTTATTTACTTATAATATTAATTATTAAGTAAATCTATTCATGTACTTATTCGTAATTTGACACTTAAAAGTACTTTCTAAAAAGTTTGGCCAAACACAAATTATTTCTCAAAAGTGTTTTTCAGACTGATTAGCCAAACACAAACTGATTCTCTCCAAAAGTGCTTTTTTCAAAAACACTTTTTTTCAAAAGCACTTCTCAAAATAAGCTGATTTCTCCAGCTTGGCTAAACAAGCTAGTAGAGGTGTACACGAAAAACTAACAGCTTGTTTGGATGGTTGTTACACATCGTTTCATAATGTATTGCATCGTACTGTATTGTATTGTATCGTATCATTTGATAAATACAATGTTTGGATAGATTGTGTCGTTTGTCATCGTTTCTTAATATCATGCACCAGCAATATGAAGAATAAACTTGCAATATTATAAAGAAAAATTATGATATAGGGTAAAATTCTATATAAAAAGATAGGGTAAATGATAAAAATAAAATAATTTAATAATAACAAAGGGTGAGATTGAGAGAAAAAGACAAGGTAACGACGTGACCACACCAAATCGGTCGTTACATAAAGTGTCATATTTCGTTGTTATGTAACGACGGATTTAACGATACGATACAATAAAATTTAAATAACAATCAAAACAAACATTGTATTTAAAATAACAATACAATAAGATACAATGGGTAACAACCATCCAAACAAGCCGAATCAAATCAAACTGACGGAAAAAAAAAGTGAATAGTCTTTTGATTTGATTTTGGTCTTGAATTTTAAAAAATGACCAAATTAGTTTGTTTTTATTTTTATTTTGAATCAGCAATTAATTTTAAAATATGAATCAAACCTGCTATGAAAATACCAATTTAAAATTTGTTATTACAAATATATATGTATCTTTTACATAATATTTTAAAAAATTTATGATACATATTAATCATTTACACTCCTAGTTTATAGTATAGTTCTTTGCCTTCATTTTAATATCATTCTTTACCTTTACACTTTAATTTGGTAATTTTTATTTTGTTAAGTCCAAATATTCATTTCTTGTTAAAATACCATATCTTATATTGAGTCCTTATGATGAAAACAATAAAAAAAGAAGAATAATATTGCAGAAAAAGAGAGAAGAAATTCTTATTGAATTTTGGGATGAATTACAATGAAATAGAACCCTCTATTTATAGGGAGAGAGTGACTTAGCCACCAAGTAATAAACCCTAGACTTTCTCTAAATATAGACATTCACCATAAATAAAATTCTATTTATAACACTCTCCCTTGAATATCTATTCAACAGATAATGTGCCTCATTAAAACCTTAACTAAAATAAAACTCAATGGTAAAAAATTTCTAGAAAAGGAAAAAGAGTACACATATCTAATAATATGATTTTTGGTTCCCTCGTTATTAAAAACCTTGCAAGGAAAATCTAGTGGGACAAAACCTTGTAAGGAAAAAAGAGTGCAATGCGTATTAACTCCCCCTAATGAGAGCATTAATTCACATCCTTGAGCCTTCACATCCCAATCTTGTATACTAGCTTCTTGAAGGTTGACGTCGGTAGAGATTTGGTGAACAAATCAGTCATTTTATCACTTGAACAAATTTGTTGCATATTAATATCATCAAAGATCATGTGTGAAAAATAACTTTGGTGAAATGTGCTTTGTCCTATCTCCTTTTATGAGTCCTCCCTTCAATTGGGATATGCATGCTGCATTGTCTTCATACAAAATCGTATGCAGTTTGTCGCACTTCAAACTACATTTGTCTCGAATAAGATGTATTATAGACCTCAACCACACACATTCACGACTTGCTTCATGAATAACAATTATCTCAGCATGATTAGATAAAGTAGCCACAATTGATTGCTTAGTCGATCGCCAAGATATGAAAATGTCTCCACATGTAAACACATAGCATGTTTGAGATCGAGTCTTGTGTGGATCAGATAAATACCCAGCATCGGCATAAACAACAAGATCAAGACGACAATTATTACCATAAAATAAGCTAATATCGGTAATTCCTTTTAGATACCACAATATGTGTTTGATTCCATTCCAATTTCTCCTTGTAGGAGCAGAGCTATATCTTGCTAAGACATTAACTGAAAAGGTTATGTCAGGCCTTGTAGTATTAGCAAGATACATTAGTGCACTAATTGCACCAAGATATGGTACTTCAGGACCAAGTAACTCTTCATTCTTTTCTTGAGGTCGGAATGGATCCTTATTCACATCAAGTGATCGAACAACCATCGGAGTACTTAATGGATGTGATCCATCCATGTATACCTTTTCTATGTAGGCAGATTGATGAACAAAAATTCTGTTTGCCAAATGTTCAATTTGCAAACCAAGACATAATTTTTTCTTTCCGAGATCTTTCATCTCGAATTCCTTCTTTAAATAATAAATTGCTTTTTGGAGTTCTATAGGAGTTCCAATAAGGTTTATGTCATCAACATATACGGCAAGTACAACAAATTCCAATGTTGTTTTCTTTATAAAACACATGGGCAAATGGCATAATTTATATAGTCTTCCTTTAATAAATACTCATTAAAACGATTATACCACATTCGTCCTGATTGCTTTAGACCATACAAAGATCTTTAAAATTTGATTGAAAATATTTCCCGAGACTTTGAATTATTTGCGTTAGGCATTTTAAATCCCTCGGGTATTTTCATGTATATCTTATTATCAAGTGAGCCATAAAGGTAGGCGGTAACCATATCCATTAAATGCATGTTAAGCTTTTTATGGACAGCAAAATTAATGAGATAACGGAACATTAAAGCATCCATAACGGGTGAATATGTCTCTTCATAATCGACATCAGGCCTTTGTGAAAATCATTGTGCAACAAGGCGTGCCTTATATTTTTGTACCTCATTTTTCTCATTCCTCTTGCGTACAAAGACTCATTTATAGCCAACAGGCTTAACACCATTAGGTGTTTGGACTACAAGCCCAAAAACTTCACGTTTTGCAAGTGAATTCAACTCTGATTGGATTGCTTCTTGCCATTTTGGTCAATCACGTCTTTGTCGACATTCTCCAACAGATTGAGGTTCAAGATCCTCACTATCTTGCATAATGCTAGATGTAACATTATATGCAAAGATACTATCCACCACTATATCCAATCGATTCAAATTTATCTCAATATCGATTGGATTTATTGATAGTTCCTTATTTTCTTGAGTCTCAGGCTCAGTGGTTTCCTCATGAATTTCAGAATTTGTTAAATCGTGGATTTCTTTATGAGATTCTTTTGTAGTATCATTTTGATCATTTGTTTTCCTTTTTCTAGGATTTCGATCTTTGGAACCCAATGGTCTGCCACGTTTCAGGCGTGCTTTTGACTCATTAGTTATGATACTAGAAATTATCCAATAGGGACATCAATACGGATTAGAACATTCACTGTAGGGATATGTGATTTTGTTATCCTTTTCATATCCGTAAATGCATCTGGCATTTGATTTCTTATTCTCTACAAATGAATAATCTTTTGCACCTCTTTTTCACAAATAAAGGCACGTGGATCAAGATGAGATAATGATGAATTTTTTCACAAAATTTCCTGTTTGGTTTCACCATTTTCTCCCCCTAATTTTGGGAAAAGTGTCTCATCAAATCGACAGTCTATAAATCGTGCAGTGAACAAATCTCCCGTTAATGTTTCGAGGTAGCGAATAATGGAGGGCAATTCAAACCCAACATATATTCTTAACCTTCTTTGGAGACCCATTTTGGTACGATATGGCAGTGCTACAGGCACATATACTGCGTATCCAAAAATTCTCAAATGGGATATATTAGGTTCATGATAAAACTAATTGCAATGGGGAATACTTATGATAATTTGTCGGTCTGAGACGAACTAGCATTGCTGCATGCAAAATGGCGTGACCCCAAACATAAATGGGTAACCTCGTTTTCATGAGTAACTGTCTTGCTATCAATTGCAGACGTTTAATTAAAGACCCTGTAAGGCCATTTTGAGTGTGAACATAAGCTATAAGATGTTCCACTTTTATCCCAATTGATAAGCAATAATCATTAAATATTTGGGATAAAAACTCAGCAACATTATCAAGTCTAATAGACTTAATTGGATTATCGGGGAATTGCGCCCGTAATCGAATTATTTGTGCCATTAATTTTGCAAACGCGAGG